GTCTTCTATTAAATTATTAAAATTTGTAAACATTATATTTTAAAAAACAAAAATAATTTAAATATTTAAAGTAATGTATAAGAAGAATTTATAATATTTAAAAACTGTAATATATTCAACAAAATAATAAAAATAATATAATTTACAATATAATTTAAATTATAATTATTGTGTGTATATATAAACAATTTTATAAATTTTAATAATAATTTATAATTAATTGTTTATTATTTTCTTAATTTTAGGTTCAAAATCTTGTACCGAAAAACGGCATTTAACAAAATATGGAAGAAAAAAGATTTAAAAATCGATATTCAGAAAACTTCTTATTTTATTCTTAAATTAATGTGTTGAAATCATTCCAAAGCAATATGAATATTTTAATGATAAATGATAGATTTATTATATGTTTTTTTGCCATGTATAAAAATCAAAAAAATAAAAAGAAGGACACTCTTAAAATATTCTAAGAAAAGTAATTTTTCCATTATCTAAAAATACAAAAGGAAAAAAAGAGCATTATCTAGGTAATGATGAATTTATTAGAAAGGATGATCAATGGATTCTTAACAACTTGACGTTATTTTGACAATAATTGTTCGAATATACGTTTATTTTTCGATTAATCTTCCAAGAAAACTGCTTTCGAGATAAATTATCTGGAATAATTTGATGCAAAAATCGAAGTTTAACCAATAACTTTTTCCTAATTAAGTTTTTCTATTATCATTAAATATTATTATTGATAATGAAATGTATTTATTGAGTAATTACAAATTTTACCCGAACTATAAATTTCAAAACACTTTTAAATCTATAATACAATTTATTTATTTATTTATTTTTATCAATGATTCGTTTATTAATCTAAACAAGAGTCATAAATATGTAGTAAAGCCACACGATACTATAAATTTAGTATTCAACTATGCTTATTATTAATAGATTTTTTTTATTAAAAATAAATATAAACATAAAAATTATTTGAACATTGATGTATTTTCATGAGTTTGATTATTGTGTTATTAAATATAATTTTTAATATAAAAATTTTTACCCTCTTTACTTCTATTATTCAGCATACCTAATATATTGTTATTATTAACTTTTATATGTATATTTATTTTATAAATATTATAAAGTATGGTATATGGTATAACATTAATATCAAACAGATCTGACACGAGTAATGTTATTACACCGTTTATAATGAATAATACGGTAATGATTAAACTAGTGTTTATGGCAGATCTATCACTGTTATAAAGTATAACAGTCATACATTTATTACGCAGAGAAGATGGTTGAAGTTAAATAATTTTATATAAAATACTATTGCAACAACATAATCACAACTGATTAATTTATTTGGATTTAGTGGCGTAACTAAGATTTTGCTGTGAGAATGATCTGGGAGGATGATGTAAAAAGTACAGTCAGAATGAAAAAGAATTAAGCGTTTATAAAGAACCATAAAGTACCGTTTATTTATTTTTTCATAAATTTTATAGTTTAAATTTTATTCCTATACTCTCTGGGAAGATCTAACACCCACATTACCCCCGTAAGTACGCCACAGGTTGGATTATCTTGTATTTTCTTTTCCACAAAAGTAAATGGTTTACCTCGTAAAAATCTAAATAATATCAATAATAAATACTTGGATGCTGATATAAAAATAATATTCTGATATTTTATACTAATAACAATCAAAATCGTTGGGTACTTCTAAGTAGCAAGCTGCTAAAGTAAGCAAACCAACATGAAACGAACTATGCTATTGGTTTACTTAGTTAATTGCTACTTACAAGCATCAATTGAATTTTTTCGTTATCACTATTATAAAAAAAAAAAATTCCCATATTCATGGACGTAATAAAGAGAATTATATTATAATAATTCAAGTTATTATTATCTGTTAAGTCTATTGATTAACATGTTAATATATTAACACTACATTAACATGCAAATCATTTACCATATAATTTATTTTCATAGCTCATTATCATTATTGATTATCTTTTATTTATATTTAATCACTTATTATAATCATTTATTAAATTTAAAATTATTTTTTAATAATCTTTACAAAATTCCCATTTTTCTTAGATTTTATTAATTACAAATTTTCTTAATTATTTTTATTAAATAGCTGTTATTTTAATTGTTATATATTAATATATGATTTTAGAATTTCATTCTAAAATCATAAAATTAAAAATACATTTATAAATATCGTTAAATAAATTAATAAAGATATTTTATAATGTTTATATAATAAGAATATATTATAGAAAGTTATATTTTTATGATTATCGAAGAATATTTCTTGAATAATAATAAAAAAAAGTAATTAACATCCATTTTCATAAATTATTTATTAAATTTTTTCATTCCTTATAATATAAACATCGTATTTAATATTGGAAACATCACGATTATAATTATTTCAATTTTATATTTTAATAAACTAATTCCTTGACATTTTATTTTCAAGTTAATAACTTTAAATAATATACAATAGATTTAATAAAATATTAAAAATGGAGGAACATCTTAAATCCACACCGATAGATGTCAGTATACTCAAATATGATAATGGAAATAATGATCGTCTTCAATCTTTAAACAGCAGTTAAACAGTATTATGTATATAAACAGCACTAGAACACGGAAGCCACTGAATGTCTGGATACAGAATACAGAATACAGCATACAGACAATGTATTTTTATATGTATGTATGCTGTTATATTTGTGAGAATAATACATTATAGAGAAAAACACGAGAGAAGTAACAGATAAAAGTATGGAATGTTAATATGAGGAAAACACACGAAATTATAATTCTTAGTAAGGCAACTTATAAACATGCAAATTCGTGTAAATAGGCGCATCCTACACATTTATCATAATTAAACTGTGGTAAATATTAATATATTAATCATCATAATTTCAATATATTACGTAACAAAATGGCGAATTTTTGATAATGAACAAAAATCATTATAAATTTAATTGTTTTTTTTCATAATTTTCGTTAAAATATCCAATGAACATTGAAACAAAAACCGAATTTTACAGTTTTTAATCAAACTTAAAAAATTTTATACGTAGATTCTTAAAAAGAAAAATAATAATAATAATTAAATAGTATTAACTTTTTCTAAGTACAAAATATCCGTTACACATTAAAGATGGAAAAATTTTATTATACTTTTCTCGAATATTAACCGTAACTCGAATATTCGAATACCTGGAATACTTAGTGAACTTATTTAATATTCATTATTTAACTTGTTTGATTCAATTATATATATATTAATTGTACTCATTCTCATCTACTGAAGATTTTGATTTAAGAAAACAAGAATTCGAAAACGTTCTGGATCAAGTCTGCTTCTTTTCTTGTCACAAATTAAGCCAGAGATGCTGAAGAGGAGCTATCTTTATGCAGTGGCAGATACATCGTCACATATACATACACATAATAAAGTAATTAAAAAGTTTATTTAGCTTAATGCTTTTAAAAAATAAACCTTTTTTTTTTTAATTTCTATTATCTTCAGATTTAGATAATGTAAAAAATGTATTCCCTCTGTAACGGAAGTGTAATCCCCATTACGATAAATAAAGACTTAAATGAAATCGGATATTTAAATTTATAAAAATAAAATTAAATTAAGAGCACTTAATTAAAAATTTTAAAAATTTGAATCAATTTATAATTTTTTTTTTAATATTTAAAAAGATTTAAACTTAATTTAACAAATACATTTAGATGCGAAGAGTGGATTAGATTAAATTCATCATGCAGTCCTCACAAATCCTTAAGTAAATAATCCTTAATGTAGAGAGACATGAAAAATTGTTAATTCCTAAAACTAAATAAAGGTAAGGTGAAAGTGGGGTAATTTGATATTCTTCTTTTTACATTACGCTTTGTCTGTATATAGAAACACAAAACAAAGTTAGTTATCGGGATTTGTTATCTTATCTTAAGCTAATCGATCGTAAGTTTCCCCGAAATTTTTTCTCAGAATTGGTACCAAAGTTGCACCTGTTAAAATAAATTGTTTTAAGCATAAGCCAAGGTGCATGTGAGTCATTAAAATGGGCTTGGAAGCACCACGCATTGCCTCCAGCTAAATCATTTCTCCACAAAACTTAGAAAAAAAAACTTCATTTTCTCAAAAAAAAAGTTATAAATTTATCGAAAATTTTGTTTTATTCAAAAGAATACGCTTAAAATTATTACACTATGCATGTAAAAATGAGTTTAATTTATCCACTTGATTTTAAATGAAATGATAAATTTCGTGTAAATTTAATTAGATTGTGATATTTTGAACTACACGCTAAATAAATGAAGTATTTTATGCCCGTACAGGATAAATTCTCTAGAAAACGAGGGATTTATTCACTTTTTATGGCTTTTTTTAAGGGTCTAGTTATAGGTAATTTAAATACTTTACAAATCACTCGATGGCTTGAATTGATCTTCACATCTTAATCTTGAGAGATCGTTTCAACACCATTTTCAAAGTTGTACTTTACATGTTTAAACTGATGATGTAGTCTTTTACAAAAACAGAGCCTTCAGGTCTAACTCTTTAGATGCGTTATACAGATACAAATATAAAATAAAGGCATTAGTAATGAGTCCTGGCTGATTTCCGGCCATGTCCATGCTCTGTTAAAGTTTACAGCTTCGTCACTTATGGAAAACTTTGGTGTATCTGAATTGTATTCGAGTTTTAGCACGGGGCCTTACTAATTTAGACTTTTGATGTTCATTTTTTGGATTTTTTTAAAAAACTCTTTCCTCCCCGTGAGTACTAAGAGGGCCTCTTTCAGCAAGGCCATAGTGAGTTCGGCCAGGACCANAAAATAACGTGTTAAAATTATATAAATTATTTATAAGAAATAAAAGCGTTTAAACTCATATTGATATAATCAGAATTTTTAATATTCATCAATCAATACAATCAAAAATATTAATTTTTTTTTTATTCATTTCACAATAAACTTTTCCATTCTTCAATTCTTGATTATTATTTTCCTCATAGAATAATAACAAATAACAATAATATTCGATTAAAATATATTTTAAATTTAAAATTATACATAAATTTATATTAATAAAACATTAATTTTTCTTATTTTTTTTTTAAGAAAAGTTTTCCAGTAAATAATTATAAGAAACGTTTAGTATTTCCGAGAATGCAAAGATAAATATCCTGTAAAATAAAAAAATTAATGAAATTATTTATTAATTTTTAAAAATATATATTTATTTAATTAATTTTTTTTTACTTACTTACTTCATACTTACAGAAATTTAAGAAATTCATTTTCTATATGGCCATTCGTGATCGCTCGAAAGATCTTCTAACATTTTCCAATCCCAAACAGGTCGTAGGCTATAATTTTATATATGGAAAAATAGTTATTAATATAAAGAAAACATAAAAAATAGAATCTATATTAAATTTAATAATATGTTTACACGATAAAAACTTTTATAAGATATTGGAGAATGATTACAAGTAAAAAAAAAATACATGAAAAAAAAAACTCGAGTTTATGGATAAAAATAAACGTTTGTTTAAAGATTTTTTATTTAAAAAATAAATAAAATTTTATATTTTTAAAGTATTTTTAAAGCTTTATAACAAGTTATAGATTTAAGATAAAAATTTTTCGTGTTAAAAAGTTTAAGAACGTTAAAAATTTATAGTTTAGTATATTGTAGCGTTTAAAATAAATAAAAGTTATTGTAAAAATGTGAATATTAAAGATATACGAACGAAAAAATATATGTCTGTCGTTTTAAAAATACATTTTTCTTGTAAAAAAAATTATTATTATTATTATTTGGAATAAAGCCTACACGATTGTAGGTTGAAGGAAGAAGGAGAATGAGAGATGAGGAAGAGGAGAGGTTTTAATAGGATGCTGAACAGATAGAGTGGAAGGGAAAGTATAAAAATAAATACGAAATTGGTTGAAAAATGTTTACATAGTTGTTATAATTAGTAACAGCTTTAATATAACAATAAAGAGGGGTAAAAGTTATATAAAGATTTAAATTTATTTCATTTTGAATATAAAATTGAATTTTCATTGACGTTAATTTTATAGGGAATATCTAATTTATAAAAAAATGTTTTTACAATAAAAAGTATTAATTTTTTACGATAAATTATATTAAAATAAACAAATTCTATTTAATTTTATTTAACATACATTTAAAAAGCTTTAAAATGTTTGTTAAATAATTTAAAAAGTGTCCTTTAATTTTTGCATAATTAGTACAGTTTTTAAAAACCAGTTTTAAATAAACTAATTAAACGTTTAAAAGTATTAATAAAAATCTAAGTAATTGAATAAATTAAATTATAATATAATTTTAAATCAATTTTAAACTAATTTTTAACGTTTAAAACAAGAAAAATAAATAAGAAACAATCAATTTTGAGACGATAATTGACACTTATCAATATTAGACAAATTAATTTAGATGTGATCTTTAGAATAAACAATTAATTAATAAAATATTTTAATTGACAATGATTAATACTTTAGTAAATTAATCTACTTTAATGAGTTTTAATTATAATTATATTACTAAAAACAACAAAATAATAACACGAGGTCATACATAAATTATTCTGTTGACACCAACATCTTTCTATGCTCATTTATCATTTATTGTTTCTAAGATTTTCCAACAGATTTTCATATAAAATAAATAACATAGAATCTTATCAACTGAAATTATAATTAATTGATAAAAGTTTTAACCTTATAAACTTATAAAAAATATAAATATCAGATTTTTTAGTCTCTAAAAATTGTCATAAATCACCAATTGAGTTTATGATTTAGAAATTTTCATACTTTATTTATTTAATCTTTCAAACTTTTTGAATTTCTAAACAAAAATTAATATATTTTTTTTTTATAATTTTAAAATGTCAAATAATTTTTTTATTTCTTATTTTTTAAAGTAAATTTTAATCAAGCTCGAATTGGAGAAAATGCGGTTTTAAATAACTTGTAGAACTCGATCGAATAAAGAATAAATGTAACATTTGTTTTAAAATAACTTCTTGAAAGTTAATAATTCAGAATTTTTGTACTCATTATCGTGTAAAATCATTAAATTTAAGAGGATTGATTGAAAATGCAAAGATATTTGCCTGGAGCAGATGCTGAAGAGAGGAAACAAGATCAGGATTTTTGCTTCCGGTGACTCGTTAAACAAGAAGAAAACCAATATTTGATCAATAGAAAGATAATTACTAAAATTCTAAATAGAAATATGATATTTATAGAATAAAAATTTTAAAATAAAATGATTTTTTTTATTTCCTTTTCTTAAACTTTTGTATAAAGTCGTTACGTAATAATCATTAAATTTATAAAAATTTCGATCAATCAGCTATGAAAATTCTTACGTGTCATAAACAGAATTTTAAAAAATCTTTACAAATTATAAAAAAAATTTATTTATTTGATGATTTTTTAATGTTGATTTATAGAGAGAAGTAAGCCTAAGTTCGTTAAAATATCAAGAATGATTTTTCAAGTTAAAATTTCTTATAATAAACAAAATTACTTGTATATTATTAAATAATATCATATATTTTTTGAGTGAAATATAATCTTCCAAGTAATAAATATAGCAAATGAAAAAATCAAGGATAAACAAGACGAAATTTAATTTAATCAGGGGATGTTATACTTCCATAAGATAAAGTTAAGGCCATTTATAGAAATAGTTCTTTTGGGATATTAGCAGTTCCTTCTCAATTTTGATAGAAAACATCAACAGCAAAATAATCATCCCCAAACTTATCATTTTCTTTCTATTGAAACGTATCATCGACAGCATCCAAAGCATCAGTAAATCATCCTCTTTCGTGTTATTGAATCATCTATACTTATCGTAGAAACACAAATAAATTTTGTTTATAAAATTTATATATTATCAGAAAAATTTGTTTTTAGAAACAAGGAAAACAATTTTCTCTTAATGAAAGTATTTTCGTTTCAGCTAATGCTTTTCGATAATTGATACGAGGGTGGATTGAATGAGCGGATGAATTAAACGTTTGTGATTTGGCGATTTCTAAACGCTAAATGAGTGTTAATATGTATGAATGTTTAATTAAGAGACTACTAACGTCGCCCTGATAATGATTTTTACACTAATAACATGTTGTGTAATGGATAAGAACTTTAGTGATTTAAAAATAATTGTTCGGTATGTATATTATATTTAAACACGCCAAAAGATAAAAATATAAATGTAATAAATCAACTGAACTTTGAATATCTTTTACTTATTCAAAATAATTTATATTTTTGAATTTCTAACGGATTATTGTAAATTTAATTGTCTTATAACTCGCTTTTATTAAAATTTTTTATAAGTAATTTTGTCATATTTTTATAAATTTATGAATAATTTTTTGCTCCTATAATCCTGTAATCTTATAAAATTTCTTTTCTATAAACCCATTTTTTTATTTTTTAAGTTATAATCTCATTCTGCATTTTAATAACCATTTTTTTTATAAGCTCATAACTTTATTTTTTTAAAATTATATTTATATATTTTTTATATTTTGTATAAACAATTGTATTTTTAACGTATAAATTTTGTTTGTATAATTAATCATCTACCAGTAAACATTGATATTATTTCCAATTTTCTTTGTGTATTTTTTATATTTGCAAAAAACAAATTAAATTAAAACTATTAAAGGAAATGTAAACAAGAAGAAATGTAAATGTTTAATATTTTCATAAAAAATGTCGGTAATTTCTTTCCAATGATCAATTAATTTTAGCATTCCCACGATATGAATCGTTAAAAAATTAATATTAAAAATGCTATAAAACATTATAAATATTAATAAAAATAAATTAATCTAAAAAATTTATATAAATAAATAAAACAGGAAATAAATAATTTAAATTTTTCTAATGCAATTATGTAATAAAATAATTTTCATATCATAGGCCTATTTTTATTTATTATTATTATTTT